TCTACAATTGCTCCCCCCCCGCCGACTGATGCCCAGCCCGTCCCCCAAGGAGCGATCGTTGCCCCTCCCCCGGCCAACTCCCCCAGTTTATATACTGGCCATGACCATCATGTGGTATGACCCCTTGGCCAGTCTGGGTCAGCTGTCCTGGCTGTGCCCCCTCCCAGCTTCTTGTACACCTGGCAGAGCATGGGAAGCTGAAAAGTCCTTGACCAGTGTGAGCGCCACTTAGCAACAGCTTAGCACTACTTAGCAAGAACCAAAGCATCAGTGTATCATCAACATTGTTCTCATCCTAAACCCAAAACACAGCCCCATACCGGCTACCAAGAAGAAAATTAACTCTATCCCAGCTGAAACCAGGACAGGTATTTCCCAGGTATGAGGAACCCAGACAAGATAGCCCTGCCAGCCTCGCACCTCTGCAGCAGAAACACGAGCCGTATGAAGGGAGAGCACAAAAGACTAGGAAGAGCAAGGCCCCTGTGACACTGACTGAAAGGCAAAGACCAAATTTATGAAAGGTCTGTCCTTTCTCTTCCTCTGCAGTCAAGGAAGGCTCAAAGGCACCTTGGGTGTGGCAAGAGATGACTTAAGAGATCTGTCCCACTTTACAGCCCAGATGGCTCCTGATGTTGCAAGACAACATTATACCAACTACAATTTGTAAAACAGGAGTCAGAGGGAGTAAACACTCTCATACAGCCTGAAGACCAGCCAGTTGCGAAGCTTCTAAAAAATCCAACTTCTACAAGACTTCTCATCTTTTTACTTATCTTTCCCAGAGTGAGCTACATAGAGCCTGCAGTGCTACTGTCCAAAGGAAACTGCAGACACTAGCAGGCAGAATGTCCATGGCTTCCTGTCACACCCCCCTCCCCAAATAAATGGTAGCTCCACCACCACAGTCCTCAGTATCTCTGCATGACTTGCAGGGCAGCAGTAAGAATCACAGAGCACCCGTGACACCTGCAGTATCTGCAAGGCCAAGAGAAAAGGCAGCTAAATCTTGAGAAGTGAGCATTACAAGACTCGCTGTCATCAGGTTCACGGTGGTATGAATTTCCTGCCTAGGTATGAGAAGACACAAAGGCAACTGTGGCGCTAGACAAGCCCACCAGAGATTACTGGTTATGAGAATCCAATCTCACATGGACAGGTACATAGGTAAAGAAACTGGGCAACTGAAACAGAGTTTAAGTAGCTTGCATGAAGTCACAGACTAAATTACTTCAGAGCCACGGATACAAGTCCAGCAGTCCTAATTTCCAGTTAGCACAGGCTGTGATTTAACTAGCATTCTCCTTAGTGAAATCAAATAGTTTACAATACTTGTTAATGTCTTATACGACTGATAAAATAATTGGAATATAAAAGCCTGAAGTGAAAATATTCAGCTCAAATTACATTCAGTTAACAACATGCTGACTTTGTCTCTTCATGCTTCCAGGTACTAATGAAAGAAATCTGCCTTTCTTTCACTTGATTCTCTCTTTTTTGTTACAGCAATGACAAGCAAAGCCTAAAAGAGAAGAAAGGTTCCCACTGATTTTCAACACAACAGACAGTTAAGAGGAAGGACAGCAGCCTTATCTGAAGCGTTTCAGAACGGCACTGCGATTAAACTGCAGAAGTGGGAGCCCATGCTTTACCACTTATCTACCTAATGGAAACTGAGGCCCTTTAAATTACAACTTTAAGTTAATATGAGGGTCTTGGGTCCTGCAGAAATGTAACTTAAAGATATTGTTGGCATGTCTTGTATGAACAGCTTTATCATTCAATTAAGAGAATGTTCTTGAAGTTTAACTTCACATGTATGTATATAGTTCAAGAAAATTTACTGTATTCATGCTTTGTGAAGAAACCTAGCACCAAAAAGAATCAAGATATAAACAGAACAGCACATGTGTAAATTCTTCATTTCCTTAAGGCAAAAAATTCTTGTTGCAATATCTTGATCCTATAAAGAAACCGATGGCTATAAGATATATCCAATAGATCCAAGTAATTTTTTATTTCACTTTGCTCAAGTAAGTTTTCAAGCATTCTTACACTTTTTCCCCTCAGTATGAAAAAGGTACAATGAATTGTCTTCCACATTTTTTAAATAGAAATTACAACAACTGTCCCAAATAAGTAATATGAAAAATTACAGATGCAGCTTGCCAGAATAATAACTGCTTTAGAGAGCTCTCATTACATATGAAAACATTTTTCCTCCAGGCTATTGGCCACTTTCCTGGCCACAAGCTGGCTATATTCCAGAGCTGCTAATTCCGATACTAATACAGCACCTAATTGCTACATATAACTGCATTCATATCCATACACAAAACATTTTGATTGCCATAGAAGAAAAGCTATTCCTACTTTAAGGACTTAAACCTCCCTTAAGGCACTAGAATTTAAGAATTAGCTCCTGAAAACATGTAATTGCAGAATAACCAATTCCCAAGCTTCCCTAGAAGATGTAACAGAAGTTATCCCTAAGATAAAAATATCAGACCAGAGAGCTTATTGGTAGCATCTACGCTGAAAAGTCTGTTTCTGTGCCATTGAAACACATAATAGATTACAAAAACCCAAACTTTATTATAACTAAAATTATTCCAAAATGAAGTGTCACAGCTACATGTTCTTTTCTTATCAGTTCACTACAAATGTATGCACTTCAGCTATAATCTGAGTATGTCTCATATTTCTCTAATTATTTCCTCTGTTCAAAAGCCTATAGCAATGAAACTATGGCACATACTCCACAAAAGCTGCTGTTTTACCATGAGTTTTTAAAAATCAGCCTTATTTTAAAGTGTCTTTTGTCTTCAGCTATGAATATAGTATCTAATATCTGAGCATTCACAAAATCATTCCCATCATCACAGCTAGATTACGTAATACATATTTATCTATCTACCAAGCTATGAACCAAGCTGTTAAATGTTTCAGTTCCTTGTTTAGACTCAAGCACTAGGACTTACGAGACAACAGAAAAGAAAGCAAGCATTAATACCATGGCGCATTGGAATGCTTTATCATGCATAAATTCAAATAAAGGCTACTCATCCAAAGCATTCTTCTTTACAATCAAAATTTTTCTATGCATTACAATAAGAACCTTATTAGTTTTATCCTCACAAGTGTCTTTCAAGTGGTTGGCTTAACACAGTAATAACACCCTTC